GTTAAGAGGGTGACAGATATACTAGCTGAAAAATGTTTAAGAACCGAATATTTAACCAAGCCCTACTTATTACACTGCAGTTTAATATATTCAGCGGACTTTCAGAAGATTCTTCAGGTCGAGAAAGGCTAAAAATATTTACCAATGACTGTCCCAGCCATCTCAGAGTTGAGAACTTGGGTTTTTCATATTTCACTTCCCAGACTTGATCATTATTCCGGTAAGTCTACAAAAAGGACCCCTTAAATTTTTGGCTTTGGAAATAGCAAAATGTTAAGCCTGTTTCAGTAAACCATTAAATATTTATAGCATCACAGGTTCGGAAAAAGTAATAATTAAAAGAAGGGCTCATAAATTCATGTAGGCTAAAGGAGCTTCGGATGGCTGAGCAAATAAAAATCTTATAGAATTTCTTAGAATGTATTGGCAGAACTTTAAAAACACTCTCGATATCCTAAAGTGGTAAATTTAGTAGAATTTTAAAGAAAGCTGTCGTTAGGCATTGCGGGTTGAATTGTTTCAACAGCACGGAGCGACATTTTTCTCCAATTATTTATTTGTTTTGCTGTGGCTCCTTTTTTTATAATAACCTCATGTTACAAAAAACGAAAACGCTCAATTTCCGTCGTTTCATCGGAAAGGGTGTGTCTAGTTTGGACTAAACGTTTTTCCTAGTAATAGGCCTTCTGCATCAGTTGATCACGTGATCAACTAGTGCTAAAGGCCTATCGAGACGAAGTGTTCCTCATATTCCAGTAGATCCCAGCAACCGGGATAGCCTGTCCCTGTCTTGTCACACAACCACATCGCCTGGGGTGAGGTGAGGTCTCGAAAACCGGGCCAGCTCGGTTTACTGGGATTACACGGAGAAGTCCTTAGATCGCGGTTCAACATCGACAAAACTTCGTTTATTTAAATATTCGGCCCCAAATTTTCTACTTTTTCGATACTGTTCTTAATGTTTAATGAAAGTGGTTAGTTTCGTAGGAACGGCATAACGAGTATTATTTTGCTACTCAGTAATAGTAATTAAAATATATGGAAAAGAACCTTGACACAACTAGCCTTTGCCAGGCACTCAGGTAGTAAGTGGATAGTTCATTGGGGATAATACGTAAGTAAAGAAGAAAAAAAAACATGAGCGCGTTTTATTTTTGTGTTGATTCGCGCTTTCCAAATTCCTTGGACGCATGACATAACGAAACTTCGAATGACGTCCTTGGCATTACCAACCGCTATTTTTCTCGCCAGAATTATAGTAAAATATCTCATGAGGGAAACTGAGAACCTCAATATAACGAAACCTCGTTCTAGCGCCGGAATACATCAGTTTTGCGAGTCCCTTCAGGTACAGTTTCAGGTGGCTCCTCGTCAGTTTTATTGAGTTACCATTATACATTGCTATGTAAGCATCTGTCGGGCTACTAACAAACAAACCGATCAACTTCTTTTGTGAAAATTCAATCCTAGAAGTCGTAAAGGTTTTTTTTTTCTGGTTGGCATAAGCGTTTTTTTGCGAAGTGATTTCTTGGAGCTCGAAGACAAAAAAACAGCGCGAGAACATGATGATGTTTAAGTCCAAGAATAAAACGTTTGGTGCCAAAGTCATTTGAAATAAGTTACGTCATAAAATTAATGGTAGCTCTATAGCCATCATGACAAGAAGTTGTTTGACTGTAAAACTAGTACAAAAAGGTTTAAGATAAGACGGAATCTAGGCCGATGGAGTGGAGCGAAGAACATGATGTGCTTTTTCTGAGAGAAATGCTAGCAAGAAATGTTTTTGGAACAAAGAAAGGAAGTCCCGCTAGTTTGGACTGGCTTGTCGAGGCTTGGGAAGCGATAGTCGACAGTCTGAATGAAATCCACTCTCCAAAATTCCAACTGAAGGATCAAAAAGCTGTACGAGAACAGTGGAACCTTCTCCGAAAAAAGTTCAGCAAAAAGATGAGCGAGGAAGAGAAGGCAAGTGGGATTTCTGTGGAAGAGTTAACGGAGAAGGAATCACTGATCGAGGAGTTAGTGGAGAGAGAAGATACCATACAAGCAAAGGCTGAATCAGCATCGAAACAGCAACTCAAGGACAACGAGACTGCAGAAGATATCAGGAAAAAAGCGATGGAGAGCCTTAAAGAGACCAAGAAACGTAATTCAGACGAAGGTGGGGCTTCCAAAACGTCGTAAGTCGAGATCAGACGTGCAGAACCACTGGTCGACTTTTTGCGAGGGAAAGCAGCCGCTGACTGCGAAATTAGACAACAGGAGTTACGTGCAAAACAATAGGAACAGGATGATGATGAAAGCTATGATGAAAGCTATGATGCTTCAGCAGCAACAAATGAATACTGCATTTTTGAGTGTTGTGAAAAAGCTATTAGATAAGTAATCAGCTATCAAAATGTTTTTATTTAAAACATGCAACTTTTGCAGTTGGGAAAAGAAAGCCTTTTGCAGCTGCGTCTATAACTGTGATGATCTTAGTTCTTTCATATAATTGTTTATGTATAGTTTGCATCAACGTAGAAAACACTATGATTTCAGCATTGTTAGCGGTCAGCTCTGAAAAGTTCCTTGACCAGTTGCTGTTTAAAATCAAGAGTTCCCTTTTTATGATAACTTTTATAGCTTAAAAAACAGGAAAACACCATTAAACTTCCTTTGTTTCAGCAGAGACGCATGCGGAATAAAAACTAAATCGTTTGTCCCAGCAACCGATACTGACGATCAGCGTCCTAATGCATCTCCATTAGTGATCTTTGCGGAACTAACATCAACCTTCTTTGTTCACGTTCTTAATTTTCAAATTCTTCTGAAAGGTGGACGAGCAACAGAGAGAAAAAGGGAATTAAAAGTGTGAAGCGAAAAAAATAACAAGCCATGATATCATCCTAGTGCATCACCTGGCTCGCTGTATTCCTTACCATGTCTGTTGCTATAGTAACAGCGAACCTTCTATCAATCGTTATTTTTATATAAAACCGCAGTCTTCGCACTCGTGCCATGTACCTAGTTATAAACCTGACCATACCTGATATGTTTGTAGGAGGATTTTCTCACTTTTCTCTGATCTATTTGTAACCTTACTCTACTTATGCGACATTGTGCAATTTCCGCATATAACCCTGGAACTGACATTAACAACTGGCTTTCTCTTCGTCTGGTTTTCTCTGATCTCTCTTACAAACATTGCAGTACTTTCATTAGATCAAATGCATGCAACAATTCGTCCCTATACAGCTCTTAGGCATCGCCTCATTAAAAAGTGAGTCTACGGGGTAACAATTGCTGCTCTTGTCTGGGTTTTACCTGCAATGTTTCCAGATGAATGTATCATTCATCTCAGGTTCTCGAAGTTTTCAGTCTATTAACTTCTCTGATTGAAGTTGGGAATGGGATTTTCACTTTTCACTTGTCTTCCCATATTTGGTCATCATTCGCAAAAATGGACCACTTATAATAAATATTGGGCTTTAAAATCAGTAACGAAAAGATGTACATCGGAAAATGTTGAGTTTTCTGTATATTTAATAGCATCAAAGATTTTCGAAAAAGTAAACCGCTAATAAATTCGCATCGGCTGTTTAAAGAAGCCCAATGATGACCAAACAGATACAAATTTTATAGAGTTTCCTAGAACGCATTTGCAGAGCTGCTTTTTAAAACAACAATCTTAGAGATATCCTTAACTGGTATGAGTAAATTTTGAAGAGAGGCAGCGTCGGATATGGTGGGTGGCTGGTAGAGCGATGTTTCTCTCCTCCTCACTATACGATATACTTACCTAAAAATACTTGCAATGGAAAATGCTAAAATACAAGGATTGTCCGAGCTAAGCCGCGACTTAAGGCCTCTTTAGTCATATTTTCATGAAAAATTTCAGCTTCTTTAACAGAGTGAAATTGTTCACGAAGAGTTTGCATGAAACATACTTTTTTCCGGACATTTGATTGTCTTAGAAGGGTTAACTGAAATGATAGTCACATTTTCATTTTGGTGATCAGTTACTACCAAACAGACCTTCAATATTTTTAAAGAGCGAAATAAAAATGTTAAAAAAGTATTAATGTAATAGATTCAAATACAATATTAATTTTAGCCACAGTTAGATTGTTAGTTAACTAGTTAGTTACTAGCACCCTTTGCATTTTACCACGAACATTTTTTGCTCCTGATGTAATAACATACGTTTAGCTGTATATATCTAGCCGGATTTTTGAAAACTCTCCGTCCAACAATTTTTTTCGGCCAAAAACTATATCCAAAGTAGCACATTATAAAAACTAAGAGTGCAACCATTGCTTTTTTTTCTTCTCCTCCTTTCCTGATCTCCTCGCTCTTTCTTTTTCTCCTTTCCTTTTCCTTCGTTACTGTGATTTTGGAGCTGTTCTCGAGCTTAAGAAACTTGCCTTTTGACGCCTTTTCAGTCAAATGACTGCAAATGTCGTTAGGTTGGTTTTCCAAAAATCAGTTAGATATGCTAAAAAATTTATTTTATCAACAGATGTAGAGCCATTTTCTTTGGAAACGCTGAAATAAACCACCGCCATTATAATAATAATAATTATTACTATTATACTCAGGTGAACGAGCGCGGACGTTAATTAGTTTTAAAAATATTCAGCTGAAACGAAATTTAATGCCCTTAGCTTTTAGTCAACCAATTTATCCTAATCTCCCCTCAAACGTCACTGCTTTTTTCCACAGGTGAAAACAAGGGTTTTCACTTCATCTTTTGTGAAGGCAATTTAAAAAACTGTAAGTTAAAGGTGAGCTTCCTAATTTGTCGAATTATTATTCATGTATCTTCATTACTGATCTTTGAAAAACAGTCGTCAACCTTGTTTGTTCACCTCCTACTTTTCTTTTCTAAGTAATCAAACTTTATTCAGTTCAAATTCTTTCTAAAGGTAGACGAGCAACAAAAGAGAACGGGCAAAAGTGTGAAGCGAAAAGGAGTAAAAGAAGAAAAAAGTCATGCAATTATCTTCATCCGAGTGCATCACCTGGTTTGCTGTATTCGTTACCGTGGCTGCTGCTATAGTAACAGTGAACCTTATATCAATC